CTTCAAAGGCGTATTCAGGTTTTCTTCCCGAGGTCCTGCACATTGGCTGCAAGCTATTTCATCTTGTTTGTTACTATTATCAATGCAGTTTGGGGTCCACTACTTTTTCTCACCACTGATTTTTGCTTGATTTTTGGATTACCGTGTGACTTCCCCACTGGACGGTAAACCATGAGGTTTTTCGTCACCACTGTGTCCTGGTGCCTGGCAGTGTGAGTGGTGGTGAGCAGTGAGTGAGTGAACCTGCTGACGGGGGGATTATTTAGACAGAGAAGGCACTTCCTCCGCTGGAGGCTGATGTCCCCCCAAAGCATATGCCAGCCAGCGGGGACCCAGAACTATTGGTCTCCCTCTTTTTCTCCCACGTTTGCTGAGCCCTGACAATGCGCCACGCCTTGCCGGGTGCTCTGGGACATAGACCACCCATCCAGCTCCAGACTGGGCCTCACCCTCCCCAGCCACATGGGTGCAGGTGCAGTTACGAGCTAAGGCTCGGAGAGTAGTGATGCCGGCTCTGCTTCCCATCTCTGTCTGAGGTTGGGCAGATGCCTTCCCTTGAGCCTCAGTTCCTTGCCTGTTAAAATGGGGCTAATAATGATACCTCCTTTACAGGGATGTTGTAAAGATCAGTTGTGTGATGTGTGTAGAATACTCATCACAGGGCCTGGCACAGAGGCTGTGTTCAGTCAACGCTGGCTGTCATTGCTGTGACTGGGAGAGAAGGTGGGAAGGCTGCTGCCCTGGGCATGAGGCCTCAGGCCTGTCTGGCTCAGGCCTCTTGAGTCCGCTGACGGGTTGTCCGACTCAGTTCTAGGCTGGATATTCTTCGGGCCAATCTTTGGGTCTCTCCGGTCTTAGTTTTGTTGTGTTTTTTCTTTTTTCTCTAAGTTGCAGATCCTCTCTCTTTCCTAAACCTCTTTATGGGGCTGGAGAGGGTAAGAAGGATGATAGAGAAGGTCATCTTAGAAAGTAAAAATGTGATGCAGGAGAAAATTTCGTTTTAATATATGACAAACGGACATTAGCCCCGCTTGTCATGTGGCTAGCATCCAGATACGCTGTGCCCTACGATGGGCGACAGGGCCTGGTGAATCCTCATCCCCCGCATTGCTTGGTTGAAACCTTATCCTTAATTACCGAGCTTGTTGTTGAGAGCAGTGTGTGCTATCTCAAGGGCCATCTGGAATCTTCCCCGGATTCAATCTCCAGCCAGCTGTGTGTCCTTGGGCAAGTCACATTCCCACTACTCGCCTCCTGTTCTTCGTCTTTACAATTAGGAGGTGAACTAGAATGATCTCGAAGGTCTGTCCCTCCATGCCCTGATGTGCTGTGATTCCAACACAGATCAATCTGGGCCTCATTAGCCAAGCACGCTATGGCGATCTCTTGAGGAGGTGGATGTTTGGCGCTATCACAATTGTGAAAATAGAACAGGCCTCTGACTTGTAGCCAGAACATAATGAATCCCATTTCTGTAGAACAGTGGTGACGACGGGACCAGCCGTGTAGTGGGGTTTTTTGACGTGGCTGGCCCATTTGACCCAACATCCTCTGCAAGAAATATAGATGTGAGATTCTGGCTAAACAGTTTAATGCGGCGCCTGAGGAACTTCCGAGTAAAGCCAGACGCGAGTCACTGAGGTAGCTTCCTATTTTCCCAGGCCGTCGGGACCGACGCTGTACTTTGTGTCTGCATTGGTTCAATGGGTGGGACTTTCTTCCACACACCTGTCCAAGGTCCAGACTGTCAGAGGCGGGAGGGGTGTTTGGGACCACTTAGTCGAAGGCCTCACTTTACAGATGGGGGACCCCGATGACTGGAGGGGGAGAGCTTGCTCGGGACTTGCAGCCGGTGGGCAGAGATCCATAGAAGCTTCTGGGCCTCTCTTGGCTTCTCTGTGGCTGGGATTGGGCTCCCCAGTGGCCCCTACCTGCCCTTGCAAGTCTGGCAGTTGCTTTCTTCCCAGATTTCCCTGCCAGCCTGTCTGGTTCCCTCTCCTAGAAGGTGTGTTTGGCAGTCTCTCCACCCTTGTCATCCAGGACCTTGTCTGATAGGCTAAGGATTCGGCCTTTATCCCAGGGGGCAAGAGGGAGCCATCAAAGGTGGCATCATGAACTTAAGATATTTACTCAGCCCTAAATACTGGCAGGAGTTTGGGGGCCAGCAGACAAGGGAGGCAAGAGGAAGAAATACAAAGGGCCCTACTCTCAAGCAATGTACAGTCTTCCTGGATGAGCCAGAAGGTTCTAAGCAAGGGAGTGACCTGATCTGATGTGTAGCAGGTGAAATGGAGAGGAGGTAGATGCAGGCAGGGAGGGGGCTGCCGCAGAGCCCAGTGAGAGGCGGCGGGGCCTGAGCCAGGGCTGAGCAGGGGGAATGGAGGAGCCTTTGTTTTACAGGTGGAGTCACAGGCCTTGGTCACTGATTGGACCTGGAGGTGGGTGACAGTGACGGGGAGGGGATTGATGATGCCCAGGGCTCTGGCTGGACTGTCACAGCCTGTGACTGCCCAGGTGGCAGAGGAACAGGGTGGGTGCTGCTGTTTGTCCCAAGGTGTCCTTAAGGGACGGCACAGCCTTACTGCGTGGTGACTGCAACATCTCCTTTGGGTTCTGTCCTCCCGTTGCCTGTGTTCTCCCCTTGGGCGCCCCCCACCCCCTGCCAGGAGAGGTGGACTGATGCAGGGTTAGCTCTGCATGTCAGGGGGCTGGAGTGTGTGAGTGATCATGGAAGGATTGTCTGTGCACATGTTTGATCACTATTTTTGACCTGAAAAGTGCCTTAGAGGTTATCCTGTCTCTAGTGAGCGAAGAAAGACAAGGGAGGAGGGGACAGAGAGTTCGTGGTTATGGCCCAGGTCTTTCTCCTCCCATATCCTGGTCTCGCACTTACTTGTTCCTGTTTTGAAGTAAAAGATCCTGGAGGTACAAAAGGTATAAATGATATGGCCCTTTCTCTTGAGGAGTTATAATTTAATTGAAGGGCCAAGAAGAAACGGGAAGCTGCTAGGACACAGCACAACAGCCAAGTAGACGAGGCATGGAAAGGAAGTTTCATGAACTGGGAGTTCAGAGCAGGCCTTAGTAGTGTGGGAAGGCTTCCTGGAAGAGTTGGGCCTTGAGATGATAGGCCTAGAAGGTGAGGGAGAATGGGAAAGGGAGATCAAGGCAGCAGAGGGAACTGCCTGTGCAAAGGTGCAGAGGCAGGAATCTGGCATCTAGGCTACCTCCCGGGTAGTCAGGTGCTGGGTCTTCTGGGCACTGGGGTCCTTTGTGGGCTCCTGCAGCGTGGGTACAGTGCAGGGTGACAGAGTAACCTAAGGGGTCTGGGAGGTGTTTCCCAACCTCCAGCCCCTCTCCCGAGGGGCCCCTTCCCAGGCTCCTGGAACACGAAGTCCGCTGAGACCTCCCCAGGCAGGACTTGTGCCCTTTCAGTCCCACGCTGAGGTTTGCTTGGCAGGCTCCCAGCTGGGCAGTGGGTCCCCAGCTGCAGGATGGGATTTGGGATTTGGGGAGCTCTGTACTTGCCCCAAGAGGGTGCGGAGGTTTGTCACTGAGGGCTGAGTGAGGAGTGGCCCGTGCAGAAGAGCTAGTTTCTGCTGGACGGAGCTGCCCAGCCAAACCGAGGAGCCGGGGAAAGTCAGAGCCTACAGCCCGGCTCCTGGGCTACCCACGCCCTTGGCTGAGCCTCTCCCTGGGCTGCCTCTGTCCCCAGGGTATGAGGAGAGCAGAACCTCGCCCAGGCTTGCCACGGAAGGGCCTGGCTCGGGCCCCTTGCTTGGCACTCTGGTCACTCAGGGGTTAAATGTTTCACCAAGCCTCAGCCCCAGGCGTGGCCCCTGTGAACCTGAAAGGGTAGGAGCCGTGGCAGAGACAGCCCAAGGGAGGGGCACTCCCTGCGGAGAGAAAGGAGCTCAGAGGGGACCAGCCTCACCCAGCCAAGACAGGAGCCAAAGGGTTAACAAAAGCAGCGGTGCTGATAAAATGCCCCAAATGCCTGGTCCTACCTCCAGTGGGAAGGGCGTCTGGTAAATGTCAACGATAAAAAATACATTTTAATGGCACATGATGCTGCGCTACCGTGGGGCACAGCCAAATGGAGTGGGTTTGGGGCCACAACTACCGTGTGTTTCTCCCAGGGCTCTGGGCCAAGTCTCCTGGGCTCTTTGCCTTTTGCCCCAGGCATCCTCAAGGGCTGGGGGTGCCTGGGGCCTCTGGGCCTCCTCCTACCTTGGTACCTTGAACTCCAGTCCCTGATGGCACTCTCTTCCTCTCTGTGAGCTGCCTGGGACAGGTCTGAAGGCAGAGTGCCTCTGGGTGTCCCCAGGGTCCCCTCAGCAGGCCTCTGTGAATGAAGGAAGGAGTGCCCCGAGGGAACAGGTCGGAGTGCACCATTTTCCTCAGCATCCCCCCTCCCCCATCTTGCAAACCCTGGGCTGTGAAGTTGCTTTTGTTGCTGACAGATGTGAGAGGAGGGGCTGAGCGCCCACCGCTGACAACTCTCCGAAAGGCAGGTCCCAAATAAGTTGGGAGGGGTGAGCAGGGAAAGAAGAGCTGGATAGGACAGGGGGAGGCCGGGAAGAGTCAGCCTGCCGGGCTGCAAGCTGAGGCTCAGAGAAGTCGAGGGACTTGCCTGAGGTCACACAGTGAGTCAGTGGCACCTGGACTTTCGCCTACAACTCAGAATTCCACCAACCACACTGTGCTGAGTTCACTGGGGCTTTTAAATGGTTATGTCCCCATTTCCACACTGAAGGGTCTGTAACATCCGGGAGGTCCTGGGACCAGGAGTTGGTGCTGGAGCAGAGAGTCCAAGTGGGGCCCGGGGACCTGGTTCTTCAACCTTCAAGGGAGGTTTGGACCTGTCTGGGCTCAGCCCCTGTGGTCAGGCCCTGGAACCCGGGTGTTTAGGACAAGGAAAGCCAGCCCCAGGCCAGCTGAATGAGGCCGAAGACAAGAGGGTGGGGATCCGGAGCTCAGAAGAGACCCTTCTCTTCCAGATCATCCTCAACTCCATGCACAAGTACCAGCCGCGGCTACACATCGTGAAGGCTGACGAGAACAATGCTTTTGGCTCCAAAAACACAGCTTTCTGCACCCACGTGTTCCCAGAAACTTCCTTCATCTCTGTGACCTCCTACCAGAATCACAAGGTACAGCCCCACCACAGAGGCAGGAAGTGAAGCCCCGATGCAGCAGGGCTGAGGCAGGCAGGGCAGGCGCCTCAGGAACCTGCTAAGCCCTGCAGAGCAGAGAGAAATGGAGTGATGTGCAGGAAAGGAGACCAGATTCCTGAACCCCCAGCACAAAGTAACTGTGGTCTCTATGCTGGGGATGGACAGAGTTGGCAACTGTAAAGACCGGGAGCGTGGAGCTTGCCCTGTGGCTCAGTGCTGGGCCCTTTCGTTCTACAGTCTTCTCCTGGGTGGGATTCTGCACCTGCAGAGAGAAGGGGATGGAACAGGGAGAGGAGCCCTGGGGCACTGCCAGCTGTGTGGGAGCAGGTGACTGAGCCATCTGGAGGCCCTTCCCAGGCAGCGGTCACAGGGTCCTGGCATGTCCTGGCCCACCTTCCACCCCAGGCCGACCACCCCAAACTGCCTCCTGATCCCCTCCCGGGCCACTCTCCCCTGCCCCCCGCCTTTGCCCACGCCATCCTTCTCAGAAGGCTTTCACATCTGCACAGTGGCACTGGCCAGATCAGGGGAAGGATCTTAGGCAGAAGAGTGACAGAGTCAGGTTTGCATTTAGAAGAGTCACGCAGAACCTGATGTGGCAGTTGCACTGGAGGGGGATGATGTGCACGGGAAGCTGCTACAGGCCGCCAGGAGAGGCTGAATCGAGGTAGCACAGCGGGCAGGAGAGCGGGAGATAGAACCAGAGGTTCTGCCGCAAGTGGAAGGGATAGGAGCCGGCGATGTGAAGGGCAAGGCCAAGGAGGCCTCAGCAAGTCGCAACTTCCCCAGACACTGCCGGGGGTTCCGAATGTGCCTGGGGTCGGGGGGGAGGGCCAGAGGCCAGCCCAGTCCTCTCCCCCCAGTGACTCTACCGTGTATCCTGTCCTGACAGATCACACAGCTGAAAATTGAGAACAACCCTTTTGCCAAGGGGTTCCGGGGCAGTGATGACAGTGACCTGCGTGTGGCCCGGCTGCAGAGGTGGGGCTGCTCCGGCCTGGGGGTGGGGCGGGTGGACCGGGTGGCCCGGGTTCAAGCACAGGGACTCCGTAACCCTCAAGGTATCTCCACTCCCTTCCCGTGTCCGCTGACTGTCCTCCCCTCTCCTCCAGCAAAGAATATCCCGTGATCTCCAAAAGCATCATGAGGCAGAGGCTCGTCTCCACCCAGCTGTCATCCAAGCCTGACGTCAGCCCCCTGCATGGGGCTCACCAGGCGCTCCAACACTACCAGTACGAGAACGGGCCTCACATGCAGTTCGCTGCGGCTGAGCCCCAGGACCTTCCCCTCAGCACCTTCCCAGCCCAGAGGGACTCCAGCCTCTTCTATCACTGCCTGAAAAGACGAGGTACCTCTCTCCTGGTCTAGAAGCCCTGGAGGGTCGGGGGGTGAGACTCTCCCCACAAAGACTCCCCACTACACGTGTGATCACGCATGGGTGCGCGCGCGCGCGCGCACACACACACACACACACACACACACACACACACCTGGTTATTGTGTGGCCTGGGAGAGCGAGCCTGAAGCGTTGGGGACCGTGGCCAGGCTCAGTGCAGGGATACGCTTCTTGCTTTTCACGCAGCCCTCAGAACCCTCACAGGCAGCTTGCGGCCTTGGTGTCCCCAGACACCGGTACCCCTCCCTAGCCCCAGGTGCTGCTTTCAGCGGGGTGGGCAGAGGACACGAGTCAGCCAGGCTCTGTCTCTAGGTGTGGGAGGAGGTGGAAGCATCACAATCCCGAGGTTTCCATTTAGGGAGGCGACCTCCATCCTAACACAGGGAGTCCCTAGCACAGGCTCCCCACCGCATCACACCAGATCTACAAAGGCTTCTTGAAAGTGGCAGGGAGCTGTTGTGGATGCAGATTGGGGACCAGGAAGACAGGCAACAGACTTGTCCGTGCTGGCTTCTTTGCGAGGAAGAGGAGCCCTGAGCCGAGAACCAGATGTGCTCTGGTACCAGGTCTCGATTTTTCCCTCTATAGAATAGGAATGATTAGTGGTATTACACCAGAAGTCCTCACAGGGCCACTGAATTGTCTTGGGAATGAGTTTGGGGACTTTTGCTTGCAATCCAGAATGTTCTCTCAGCGCAGCTCCTAGGGACCAGCCAGGCAGGCCCCTGAGCGCCCACCACACCAGGTCCGGTAGGACTAGTGACCTAGAGCAGGGGCTGGCAAACTGAGGCCTTTGGACCAAATCCGGCCTCTGCTGTCTGTTTTTGTTCCGCCTGTGAGTCATACAAAATGGTTTTCGCATTTTAAATAGTTGAAAAAAGTCAAGACTGTTTCATGAACATTATATGAAATTCAAAGTTTGGTATCCATAAATAAAGTCTTATTGGAACACAGCCAAACACATTTATTTACCTACTGTCTGTGGCCTCTTTCCTGTTGAGAATCCCTAGAGAAAACAGAAGGAGGGAGACCAAGACAAGCGACCGGACAAGTGTTCTTAAATTCGTTGAGTGGGCTGCCGCCCAGGTCCTCAGGCCTGGGTCATCCCTGTATCCCAGGGGAGCCCGTGCTCATCCAGAGAGTCAAACCCTCGTGCTTGAGGATGTTGAAAGACACACATCCATGGTTTGGAGCAGTTAATGTCACGTTTCCTGAGACACAGTATTAGCTTAGCCTTAAAAGTACCAGTCACCTTTTACTTATTAACAGCTCCATTTCTTAATTGTGTAAACGCTGTTATGTTGGAATCTGTGTAATTACAATCTGATGGGACTTCTTTGAACATATGTAGGGTTTACTTCCTCCTCTAAAAGCAATAGGAGCGTGCCTGTGAGTAGCTTTGTCTTGCCAAAGCCTTCCTGGGAGTGGAGGATTGAGGCCGAAGCATCGAGGCTTTAATTTTCTGGCTAATTCAGGCAGATGTAGCCTCTGGGCCCGGTTTGGGCTGGCAGTTGCTTGCACTTTCCTTGGCCAGGGTGGGCCTAGCCTAAGAGTGCCAGTGCACATTAAGGCCTCTTACCATCCCCAAGAGTCAGCGTGGCAAAGGATCAAAGCTATACACTGCCTGGCTAAACACATCACTCAGTGTCCAGTGATGCAGTGCGCCCCGTGGCCTTTGAGCATGGTCCATGATCAGACCACTTCTTGGCTGCGGCCGCCTTTGAAAAGCTGTAGCTGATTAAAATGGTTCTGGGAGTGCCGTGGTAGCGTGGGGCAGTGGGGGCCCTGAATGACAAGGATGGGCTGTCCTAGCGTCCAGCGGGGGTATTCGGGGCCCTGGGCTGGCGGAAATGGCTCTTCCTGAGGTTTCTTTGTCTTCTGGCAGACAGTGCCCGCCACCTGGACTTACCCTGCAAAAGATCTTATCTGGAAGCTCCCACTGCAGTGGGGGAGGATCATTATTTCCGGTCTCCCCCTCCCTACGACCAACAGATGCTGAGCCCCTCCTACTGCAGTGAGGTGACCCCACGAGAAGCCTGCATGTACTCAGGTTCAGGGACCGAGATCGCCGGGGTGTCCGGGGTGGACGACTTGCCCCCGCCCCCACTGAGCTGTAACATGTGGACGTCAGTGTCGCCGTACACGAGCTACAGCGTTCAGACCGTGGAGGCTGTGCCTTACCAGTCCTTCCCCACGCACTTCACCGCCACCACTATGATGCCCCGGCTGCCCCCGATCTCAGCTCCGAGCTCCCAGCCGCCCGGAAGTGCCCACTTCAGCGTCTACAATCAGCTCTCACAGTCTCAGGTCCGAGAGCGAGAGCGGGGGCCCAGCGCCTCCTTCCCGAGGGAGCGCGGCTTCCCCGGCACTGGCACCGCGTGCGAGCGGAAGCCGCCCTCGCCGCACCTGAATGCTGCCAACGAGTTTCTCTACTCGCAGAGCTTCTCCTTGTCCCGGGAAGCCTCCTTACAGTATCATTCAGGAATGGGGACTGTCGAGAACTGGACTGACGGATGACTCTCAGGGCCCGCCCACAGCCCCAGTACCGGGTTGACCCAGCATTAACCTCTGAGGGTGGCGTGCACTACCAAGAAACACAGGAAGGTATCATAAAGGGTGGGGTGCGAGTGCGCGTGAGCATTTCTTTAGAGGGCATCTATCTTCTGACATACGACTGAGGCCATGACAAAGGAAAAAACACACTGTCTCGGAAGTGATTTTGGCTGCAGGACCTGGATCCACTGTTAATCTGATATCTCTTGACATGCCCGTGGGTGGGATGGGAGTGGAGAGTTCAGGTGGTGAGGTCTCTCCCGCAGGGGAAGTCGGGGTGGGAGGGGTCTCTGCACATCTTAAGAGTCCTGGCCTTGCAAGGGAGCTGGGAATCTTGTTTTGGGAGCAGGAGGCCCATTCCTTTGGCTTCCGGAGATTCTGTGAGACCACCTGAGAGGTGAGCTCAGCTAAGCCACGAAGCCCTTCTGGGAGAGGAGCACTGACTGCTCAGTTAGTGAAATTGATCCCCGGAGCTCTGAGGTCTGAGGGACAATATATTTTTTTTTTTTTTTTTTTTTTTTTGCGGTACACGGGCCTCTCGCTGTTGTGGCCTCTCCCGTTGCGGAGCACAGGCTCCGGACACGCAGGCTCAGCGGCCATGGCTCACGGGCCCAGCCGCTCCTTGGCATGTGGGATCTTCCCGGACCAGGGCACGAACCCGTGTCCCCTGCATCGGCAGGCGGACTCTTAACCACTGACAACCAGTAGCATCTCTGGCATCATTCAGGTTTTCTTATAACGTACAAAGCCCTTCCCCCTCCGTCCCCAGTATACAGCCCCTCACCCTCTCTGGTGCGCAAGACTCACCCCTCAGGCCCCATCTGCGTCCTACGACTGGCCAGTACAGTAGGAAGCACACTTGACCTGGCAGTGTCCCCAGGAGACCGCACTGGAGCTGCTGCCCAGCAGCTCTAGAGCCCGTTCTGCTCCCAGAAAATCCTCGCCTCTGGAGCAAGAAAGCCCAACAGAAATAAAAATGAGAATTCAGAAGACATTCATTTCTTCCAGTGAATTCAGCCAGTGAGCTCAGAGGAGCAAGGATAATTCTTCTCCAGGGAGGTGGATCTCGTCCTCAGCTCAGCTCTTTAGCATTGAAAGTCACCAGACCGTCCCTGTGGCTTGTGTGAACTCTGTAATCAAATTTGGGAAATCACTAAACTCTTTGCATGCTGAATAGCTATTTATATATTATATAAATAAATAAATAAAATAAAATATATAAATATATATATCTCACAAATGCAGGCCACATGTCCAATTCAGCTTTGCTTTTTTACAAATGAATAAACTTAATAAAATGAACGTTGGAGAGGGTGTTTGGAAAGACATCTATTTAAATCTTTATTACACATTTGATGTTAAAAACAAAGAATGGTTTAGATAAAACATACAAATAAATAATTATATATAAACACACACACACTACAGATTACACTTTATTAGAAGACACATTAGCTAACAGGATATGGAACTTCAAGTGTTTTGTTACATAGCATGGACATTTTATTTTACATATCAGAACATAAAGCCATTTTACAACTGTGAAGTGTGTGGATGCTCTTTACTCCTGACTTGTCATTTCCTGGCTCAGCAATGGTCTCCACTTCCCCTTTGCTCATATATTTTCTCAAGGGCCAGGTGGAGCCCTTAGTGCCTCTGCGCATTTGTTCCATGGAGCCTCTGAGCTCAGAGTGAAGTCATTTAGGAGCAACTGTACCTTTGATCTCATGCTACTCCCCAGACGATGGGCCTGGATTCCAGGGCCCACAAAGACCCCAGACGGGCAGGGCAGACAGTACGCAAGAATCTGTCACCTTTTAGTAGTGGACGTGCAACCTGGTGGTTTGGGGGAGATGGGCTCCCAGGTGGGGAGTTCTTGGTGGGCTTTGTGTAGCTGCCTCAGAGGAGGAACTGAAGAGCAGGTTGGAGTCAGAGCCCAGGGCTTCCTGGAGCAAGCAGTCAGCTATGTGAGCCCATCAACCACCTGCACCCCCCAGGGGAGGAATCCAGGCCTGGCAGAGACCTCCGCTTGTTTACTCCTCTGCCAGATCCCTGACGTTGGCCTCAAGATGGGGGTGGGATAAAAGGAGACAAAGTCCAGTCCAGGTTCACCCTCCTAGATGAGAAGAGAAGCTGGTGTCGGAAGGCATGTTGGGTCTCCCTCCTCACAACCCCTTGCCTCTTGCCCCCTCCCCTCACGGCTCCTTTTCCAAAGCTGCTCCCTGTCACCCACCATCTCCAGGAGGGAGCCATGAGAAGAGAAGGCAAGGGTAAGGGATGCCCTTTCAATCTGGTCCTCACCAGGATTAAGATGAGATTTCCTGCTGGGTAAAAAGTCAACCTTGTCTCCTGTTTCCCCAGGGTCCTGCCCTTGTGGCCCTGGGTTGCTCTCTGGCTGGACTCCTCCCTGCAGAAGGAGGCCAAGCTCCTTTTTTCCCTTTGCTGTCGGCTCCCACCTTGGGCTTGTTGGTCACAGAGAAAAACTTACCTTGGCTCAGGAGACAGGGAAGAAGGGGGTTCTTCCTAACTCACACCTGCACTGCTCTTTTCTTTCTGGGTGAAGACAGCATTCTGGGATACTCTATACCTTCTACAACCACGTGTAGGGGGCTGGGAGCTAGATGTATGTTCCCAGGCTCTCTCCAGACACACAGTTGCCTGACTTGGTGGTAAAGAAAGCTGCTTCTTAAGAGAGATGTTGTCTTTAGGCAGCCCGCTGCTTCCTACCAACTTTCTGGGAAGCATGATGTCCGTGGGCTTCCCCACCTGGACATGGCTAGAACAGGGCCTGCAGTGGGATTTGTGGAACTTTCCTGCCCCTCTGAATCAACAAGTCAATAAAAAGGGGGCACATGGGATACCGTGGAACAAAGGGCACCATTCAGTAGCGCCAACAGGTCATACATCATGGGGCCAGAAACCTGCCACATGAAAAGTGTCTGCTGCTGCTGTGCCCTGCCTGGGAAGGGAAATAAGAAACGATGAACGTTCAACTGTGAGCCATAGGCAGGCCGCCCCCAGGGCTCTGCCCTCAGCCCAGGGCCAGGCCCCTGGGGTAAGCTGGACTAGGCTCCCAGCCGTAGCTCAGCCACCCAGCTACAGAAGAGCCTGGAATAACCAAAGGGAGAATGAAAAGAGAAGCTGGGTCAGACTGACAAATTGTTAAAAAACCAAACCAGCTTCCAGCCTCCACTGGGCCTCAGGGGGTCAAGAGGCCTCGCCTCTCCCCACTAATGGAGACTGCTGGAGGAGTAGCAGTCCCAGCCCTGCAGTGTCTTATCTTACAACATAAAATTAAAACCCACTTAAAAGGCCGGAGGGCATGTTAACATTCCCCCTGCTGTCTAATTGAAGCAGTCCCAGCGCAAAGGATTTCACTTGAAAGATGTCTCCCTCCAAGCCCGGGTTCTCCCGCTTGGCAGCCCGGGGAAGGGGGTGCGGAGAGAGAGGGCATCATTGCAAAAACCAGCAGGAACTTAGGCGGGAAAAGCGCGGGTCCTGTTGGCCGCCCGCACCCTACAGGCGGCAGGTGGCGACAGCAAAGGTTAGGACAGGCTGGATTGTTTTGTATTTTTTAAAAATCTGCAAATTCATTATCAGCTATGTCAACAGAGGCCAGACTCCTGACAAGAAGGCCTGGTAATGATTCAAACGCGGTGAGCCCCACAGCAAAACCTGGCAGCTCCCGAGGCCAAGAGATTTCTATTCGGTTCCCCAACGATGCCCTCCTCCCTCCTATGCAAATATATTACAGGTCTCCAAGGCATACGGAATCAATCAGGGACATCCTGTAAAGGTGATGAACTTGCACTGGCCATCCTGAGTAATGGGAACCAGTCAGCCTGAAGCCCGCTGCGACTGAAAGCCAAGGTGACAGCTATTAAGCAATTGTGTGCAGAACAACATGGCAAAGGGGCCGGGTAATCAATTCAATTTCGATGGGCAACCCAAGCAACTGCCGCGTCTGTCGCAGCTGATTAGAGAGGGCCCTGCTGGAGCTTTCAGTGCGAGCCCATCACAGATCAGAAACAGGCCCGGATGAAAAGGGAAAGAACCGTCTCCTGAGGAGCAGGCGATGAAGGACTCTGTTTTATGTGACGGTGTTCTTCCTTCTCTCCTTGAAGAAAGAGTCGAAAAAAAGCCAGCAGTTTGGAGATTAGATAGTTTTCTTTTCAGCCATTTATCATTATGAAGGAAAGTAGACAGGGCAGGGGCAGAAAAAGCTCCAGTGGGATTTCTGCGAAGTCTCACTAAGAAGGACCAGGTTTACACTTTGCCGCTCAAGCAGCCCCTGCTTATTACCACAGCCTGACCGGGTCTGCAGAGCGTCCGGAGTCCCACTTCTCTAACAAGAGCAAACAGGCCCCAGTGCTCTCAGGAGCACAGAAATTCTCCTGCAGAAACCCCAAACCGCCAAATTGTATCGTTTGTGAAAATTAAAGCCTGAGTTGGAATCATGGGGAGAGGAGGAAAATGAGAAAGGGAAAGATGAGACAGGGTCATGCAAAGTCGCAGCTGGTTATGCCCGGCCGGGGCCCCCCAGTTACCTGGACCCAGCGCAGGGCAGGAAGGACCCTGCCGTGCGTGTCCGCAGTCCGCGCGGCCCCCAGGCCGATGGTGAACCCTGGCAGCCTGCTCGAGAATTCTAGGCTCGTGCTTGGTTCTCGGGAGCTGGGGTTTGGGGAAGGTAGAGAAGGGGTACCCACAGGCACAGAAGCCGGGAGAGACCAGCTAGCGGACTGTGGAGGGGACAGGAGAGGCTCGTGAGCAGATGGGAAGCGATGCAGAACCAGGAGGGGCAGGGTGCTCTTGGATCCCAGGGCGAGGAGTAAACATCCGGGGCAGGGTGGTGGGGAAGGAGGAAGGGCTGACGTGGAAAATGAGAGCCATGGGTGAGCAGATCATTCTTAAGAGAAGAATGGCAAATGGATAATTAACCTGAACAAGACTAACCTCACTAATAACTGAAAATGCAAAGGAAAGTGATAAAATACCAATTTCTTTTTTTTTTCTTTTTGCTGTACGCGGGCCTCTCACCGTTGTGGCCTCTCCCGTTGCGGAGCACAGGCTCCGGACGCGCAGGCCCAGCGGCCATGGCTCACGGGCCCAGCCGCTCCGAGGCATGTGGGATCTTCCCGGACCGGGGCACGAACCCGTGTCCCCTGCATCGGCAGGCGGACTCTCAACCGCTGCGCCACCAGGAAAGCCCAAAATACCACTTTTGTCTAACAAATTAATCAACATTTAA